AAACATAACACAGCCAGAAAAGACCTATAAGCAAAATTCAGTAAATATACATAAAACCTGCACAATGTATTGTAGGGATTTCATGACCAACCTTTATTTGTGGAGCACATGCTCAACCTACACAAAACCCATACGGGCAACCACAAAATGCAAAAACCAAATCATAAAGGATGCGTCCCAAGAAAATACCTGCCAGTGTTGCAATGGGTCAACATAGAAATGCTCTTAGAGTTTTCCAGTAGGTGCTGAATGAAACTTGCTCCATAAGTCCCAATAGCCTTGTTTGAAGCAACATCGTCCTCGAGCATAATTTCAGAAGCTTCTATAAAAGCCTATAAAATAAACAAACAAAGCAAGTATAATGGAATATTAGCAACAGAAATGAAGCATGTACCAGCAAGTACAATGTCACTAACCTAAAACAATAGAATTATAGAAGTAATTAGTTAATACCTCAAACACATTCTTCGCATCCGAAGTTGCAGCAGCTACCGTGGATGCAATTTGTTTTAGTTTAGCTGCAGCATCTGAAAGATTGACAGCAGTTGGTCGGCTGAGGAACCATCAAAGAAAAAACAACACAATCAGAATGCCATCTTCTAAACTATACAATTTAAACACCTGAATATTATTATATATAACATGTTCAAACCTGGAGACCAGATATTCCAATTTCATTACAATGAAAGAAAACGCTTCATCGGGTGTTCCATTGAAATCCTCCAAGTTAAACACTTCTACAGCCAAAGACAGAGCTGCGGCAATGGCAATGGCAGGCGCACCGCGCACCACCATATCTTTGATCGCATGCCTGAAACACAACAAACCCAATTCGTGAATTTGACAAATTAACAGTTAAAAAGCAAATGGGAAAGAGCGAGCTTTTTTGGTCCTTACCATCCATCTGTGGAGTCTCGGATATCCAAGTATGTAGTTTGCAGAGGTAGCTTCCTCTGTTCAAAACCCACAAACCTAACAGTTAATTGGAAGCTAATTCTATACTTACAGAGCTAAATTACCCAAAAACAAGAAATAAAAACGAAATTAATTGGATTATTATTATTATTATTATATATATATATATATAGAGAGAGAGAGAGAGAGAGAGAGAGAGAGACCTGATCGAGTAGCTGAAGCGAGCCACGCTTGTAGCAGATAGACTGGAGAGAGTTGGCCGCTTCGGCGCCGTCTGTGAACTCCGAGTTAGGGGCCATTCCAGCAGAGCCTAGTACGACGACGTTCCGACAATGGAGAGTTAGGGATTAAAGTGGGAGAAGAAAGAGGAGGCGAACCGAAGTTTACCTGAAGGTGATGTAAAGAGGGCAGCTTTTGTGTCTTCTGCTGCTTCAGTCAGCTGAACTCCTCTCTTTCTTCTTCCTCTTCTCCTTTGTTTGTCGTGGAGAGTGACGCGAGCAGTGAGGCGTGGAGTGAACCGTTCCTAAAGGGACCGTGTCGTAAAAGCGCACAAACCTGACAGCAGAGGCCCAATTCTTTGTGAAAGCACAAGACCATAAAATGTTAGGGCCCATTTGATATATGATTCAGAAAACCGTACCGTTTTGCATGTGATACCTAAACTTTATTCAAAATTTGAGTTTAAACGATTAGAAAAGTTTTTATTTTCCTTAAAAATGTAATATTTTAAATTATTCTAATATGCAAACATTGGGTTCAAGGGGTGTACAAGATTCAATTCAATCTGATCAAACCGATCGATCTATTCCAATCCAATTTTAATCAATTTCGATGATTTGGCGGATTGAATTGGATTCTTAATTTCCAAAACCGACATGATTGGATCGGATGACATATTTGCTTGTGAGGATCCAATCAAATCCAAGCTAATTAGTTTCATACTTATTTTGCTCATTAAATAATTTTCATTAAGAAAGTTATAAACATTTTAAGTAATTTGATGGAGTTATGTTTAATATATTATAAAATCAAAATAATTTTATGTAGCATTTCATTATTTCTATTAGAATGTGATGTTTCATATTTTTTATTATTGTTATTTATTATGAAAACCGATCATCCAATCCGATCCGATCCGATCCAATGACGATAAAGCTTCAATGTGATCGGATTGGATTGGAAAAGTCATAATCCAATTTATATTGGATCATATGCAGATTGAAGAAATTATTTGGTTTCAAACCATTACAAAAGGGTAGCCACACTACCTTAAACGACTTATCTAACTCATATTTGTGATCAATGAAATTATTATAACTAGCTATTTTTATATTCTGCTTGTACACCAACGCTAGATAAAAGATTGGTTAACCTTGAAATTTAATTTATTTCCATAAAGTGAAACCCAAAAATAAAAAACTTTAACTTCAAAAAGTTATATATTGTAAAGATTGACTAGTTTTATTTTCTCTTTCTTGGTTAGTCACATTTGGCTAACCTCACAAAATTACATTTCGGCTCGTGAATGACTAGTTAGCCCTCATCAGTGGCGGATCTATGAATTTTTCAGGGAAGGGGCAATGTTAAAAGGCTAAAACATCATAAAAAATAATAATAATAACCAAATAACCTTACAATTTAAACAATACTAATATTATTCATAATTAAAATAAATAAGAGTTTTACGTCTAAGCCAAATCGACTATAGTCTATTTTCTATATAAATTAAATGCACAAAATTCATGTTACACAATTATTTACCAAAATTAATATCAAATATGAACAAAATGCATGTCAATTACACAATTAGTCTATCAAAATTCATATGAAATCATCCATTAATCTAACCAAAATCAATACCAATTAATCTAACCCAAAGTACATGTGATTTGGAGGTCACAAGATAAAAGTAGATGTGATTATGAGTTTGGGGTATTTTTCGGTGAATTTTTTGGAGCACATATGAATTTTTAATGAATTTCTAAATTTGGTCTAATTAAAATTTGACACATGGCGCCCTGATAGTGGACCACATTAAAAAGGAATACAAGTTGAGAAGCACAGGATTCTAACTACAAACAAGAGTCATCTTCTTCTTCAATTGGTTATTTTCAAAATATTCTAAAATCTTCTAAAATCTATAACTTTGGTTGTGGAGGTCCAATTGACGAACCGTTTTCTCCTACGTGATCGTGAGATCGAGCTCAACAATCTAAGGTAAATATTTAGGGTCTCACGCAACAGCAACAAAACAGCCTCTTTGAGGCTTTTAATCGAACACTTGGTGGGCACAAGCAAAGGGGCAAATTCCTGCATCTCCAATGCATTTTCCAGCGAGAGGAGGTGCACCTGCACCTCCTTGCGCCTCTGTGGGGGCTGCCACTGGCCCTCATGTGATGCTTTCAAAATATATACGTTTGGCAGATGGTTCTTTTGAAGTGAGTTTTTCAATGAAATTCTAATCGCAAAAAGTTAGTTTCAATTTTTTTTTTTTCGAAATCTTGGATTCAAAATTCTTTAGGCATGGGACTTCAAATTCTAAATTTTGAATCTCATATTCTCTTGAGCTCAAACTCAATATTTTATTAGGATACTTAGGACTCCAAACTCGACATCCTAACATGGAGGACTTGAGACCTCAACCAAAATCCACACTTCCAAACATCAACCCTTTATCCAAATTCTAACTCACATACTAATGCCGATAATATTTTCATTATTTTGAAAACAGTTTCATAATTAGCACTAAATGTGTTTTCAAATATTAGAATTTCAAAGATTACAATCCATAAATCTTTTTATTTGATTGTGGAAGGGACCTATCATTCTAGTAAGATGAATATAAAAGGGAGATTCACTATTATACCCAATATAGAGGCCCAAATTATAAAAATACCCTATATGAAATGGACTTTAGAAACACATCCAAAACCCATTTATAACATAACAAATAGGCTTTTAACTTCTTATAAATTACAAAACTGCCATCAATTTCTTAAAACAAGTCCAACCCCAAACCTCATAAAAAACACCCAAAATACTCAATAGGGTATCAAAGTAATTCAATAATCAAACTTAAATTCAATAGGGCCAGCTATCATTTTTGGGGTTTGTTTTGGTTTGTTTATAGAAATTCAATGGTAAAGGGTTTATCTATATTATTAGTGCTAAAAATGGGTATATGACTAAATATCTCAATATAAAATGAATACTACTTGCCTCTTTACTTGTAAGAATATACTTTTTTTTTCTTGTGAATCACAGTTTGACATATATGCAAAAATAATTCATCAAAAACACAAAAAGAAAATAATCAGTTAACCATGGTTTTTTTTCCCTCGCATATACATTAGTTTTATGTCAATAACAATATGACATGTGTGGATAAGTTTTTGTTTTTTTGTCTTTTTATGAATTATTTTTGTATATGTGTTAAACTATAATTGGCATGAAGGAGAAGTATTTTTTACAGGTAAAAAGACGAGTAGTATTTTTGACAAATAAAAAAAGAGGAGGCAAGTAGCATCCTTAAATTTTTTTTATTTTTTTATGAATTATTTTTGTATATGTGTTAAACTATAATTGGCACGAAGGAGAAGTATTTTTTACAGGTAAAAAGACGAGTAGTATTTTTGACAAATAAAAAAAGAGGAGGCAAGTAGCATCCTTAATCATGATGCTTCTCTCTAACCTCTCGGCAAAAACTCTGTCCATTTCGCATAACATTTGGAGTTATGACCATTTGTTTTTATATTAAAAAAAAACATACAAAATTTATAAAGAGAAGAGAACATAAAGAAAAAGACGAATATATATAGAGTCAAGTCATTTGACGCGTTAACCAAGAAAGTTGACATGAAAACAAATTTTCATCGTGACACGCACTCATTTTTCATGTGCCAATCACACTAATTTATGGTAATTAATTAGTTGATTTTTCCTAAAATGATTAATAAAATAAAACAATATTATGTTTTTGTCAAAATTTTGAAATTCATTAATTTTCCGTGATACTCGTCAGTCGTCGTCAATGTTTGAATCTCCGTACGCTTGCTGTCTACAACTGTGTGTGTGTACGCCTAAACGTCTTCAAGGCGTTGTGATGTGCGTCCAAACCCATTATTTATTTATTTATTTATTTTGCTGATTATATTTTTTTCATAATTTTTAAATTCCAGTTCTCTCGCTGTCTTCATTACACCTTGTTATGCCAAACAAATTTCTCCACGGCTCCATTTCTTTATAAAATTTCATCAACCTCCCAATTTGGTCAGATATTCTATGCTATTTCTGCAACTATTTGTTGCTGTTTTGATTTCTCGGGAGATTGCTGACGTTTTTGGGCTGTTTTCCTCTCAGGTATTCTTCTTCTCAGATTCAGCTAAAATCTAATCTCCAATTTATTCCATTTCAGATCCATTTTATTTTCTTCTATTTTGCTTTTAGCTCGTGCCATATTGGTTTTCTGTATTGGGAAATATGTACTTGATCTGCTTTTGCATGTTACTGAGAAAATGAAAGGTAGGTTTTAAATGGAGTTCGGAGAATGCTATTTTTTCAGCTTATAATCCGAAATTTTGTTGGAAGTTTGAACAACCCATGATTGCTTAACCTTTGTGTGCTAGGATTTTGCATCCACAATGGAATTGTTTCTCTCATTTGGGTTTTTGTTTCTGCAATCAATTTGTTTGAAGTGGGGCAACTTGTTAAATTACTATATATGAATTTCAATACCCAGAAATTATGTGTCATTGCTTAGGTTTAAGTTCTAACATTCTTATTTGATCTCTTATTGTGCATATAGAATGAAAGGAAGCTTTTATGGATTGAAGGGTAAACATCTCTCTCTTATTACCATTGTTCTCATGTGTATCACCATTCTTATATGGGGATGGGAGAAGACCCCACTTCTTACTAACTTGGTACCGCCCCAAACCCTTTTAGAGTTGGATCCAGGTTTGTCTCCAATAGTACATTCCTTTTCCTTTAGACAAAATCTATTGACTTTCTGTCAATAGCTTACAATTGGGTTGCACTGAATAATAATTCGTAGATTTACTCACAGTTCGTATTTTCCTTTTCATGTATGGTGCAGAGACATATGATGATTCTGTAGATAACTCTGTAGAATTTGTACCATCAGAGCCAGAAATACATTTGGACAAAGGTGTAGCAACGTTTGCACAAAGGGACACTGTAAAAGAAGAATCACATTTCGCAGCTCAACTAGGTTCTGAGCAAAGCTCTCAAAAAAGCAATGAGATTAGTAGTGATCTAGTAACAACCCATGTTAAGGAGAGTGGTACGATATTGTTTCTTTTATTAATTTATATTTTGTTGTTGTTGTGTGTTCTTGGGGTTAGATACCATATGAAGAGTTTGTATTGGTCCGTGTTTTTGATTTATATGTTGCTGTTCTGATTGTATATCTCTACTTGTTGTGCTCATAAGAGCAGCATGAGTAGTGTTGCCAAATCATATTTTTTCTGTTGAAATTATCTTATTATGATGTTACTGACTTGTGTTTCTCTACAATTTAACATGTTCAAATTTCCACGTTCATGGTTCCTTAAATCTGTTTTGCTTTTAACATTACATCCAAAGTCATCTATATGCTTTAAACATCATGAAATGATATGGATTTAAATTTTGTATATTATCATGGTGCAGGGATTTTCTTAAATGGAGCAAAAGATAAGCAAGTTCAGGAAGCAGAAAAAGATGGCAATGCAGAATGCTCTACCTGCTCAACAGAGGCCGATGGAAAGGACGTAAAAATAGTTGAAGAAAAAGGTTCAAATCAAGAAGAACAAACAGCAGTTGATACAAGACACAAAGAAAAAGCAGAGGAAAAGAATTCTGACCTACAGAACCAAAATGTGGACCTAGTGACACCAATAGGTTCTACATATACAAATACCTCAGTTGACAAATTGACAACTCCCATGCAAACTCCAGGTAACTCTTGAAGTTATGTTATAAATTAGGCTTTTGTTTTTGAAAAATGGTCTTGCAGTATTTTGTTTTTGAAAAATTGTCTTGCAGGGTATTTTGTTTCTAAACTTATGGAAAGATCGATCAAGAGAATCTATCTAGACCATTGTGTTTTTCTGTTTTGTGATTATATTACTGATTACTCATTCTTATTTATCTGACCACAGCACCAGTCTGTAATTATGCGAAAGGAAAATGGGTTGTAGACAATAAGAAGCCTTTGTATTCTGGGCATGGTTGCAAGCAATGGCTGTCAGGGATGTGGGCTTGCCGGTTGACACAGCGGACAGATTTTGCCTATGAAAAACTTTCATGGCAGCCAAAAGATTGTCAAATGGAAGAATTTGAAGGCTCTAAGTTCTTGAAAAGGTATTACAATGTTAAAATTTAAAATTAAAAGTCATACGGAAGGTTTCATTCTATAAATTTTTTATTTTTCCAAATTTTGGACTTGGTCTGATGTGGCTGTGGTATCCCATGTCCATAAATCCTATCTATAATAATTGGTATTTTTGCACTTTACCTTAGTTGCTAGGCCTTGCAGGGCTGTCCAAATAATGGTCACCTCATATGCTACCTTGCATCCCATTTTCTCTAGTCCTCGCAACTGTTTGAAATTTTTGGTATTTAACCTCTTTGGACGATTGACAATGTGAGTATTGTGTTGTTGCTTTCAGGATGCAAGACAAAACTCTAGCTTTTGTTGGAGATTCATTGGGCCGACAGCAGTTCCAGTCTTTAATGTGTATGATCACAGGTGGTAAGGAGAGACATGATGTCATGGATGTGGGGATGGAATATGGGATAGCCCAGGCACGTGGTGATGTCCGCCCTAGTGGTTGGGCATACCGGTTCCCAAGCACCAACACTACCATCCTCTATTACTGGTCATCGACCCTCTGCGATGTGGAGCCTATTAATGTTACAAACCCAGCCACTCATTATGCCATGCACCTTGATCGGCCACCAGCGTTCTTGCGCCATTATATTCACAAATTTGATGTCCTAGTCCTCAATACAGGGCACCACTGGAATCGTGGAAAGCTTAAGGCTAACCGCTGGGTAATGCATGTTGGGGGTGTGCCAAACACTGACAAGAAGATAGCAATGATTTGGAGGGCCAAGAATGTGACAGTCCACAGTGTTGTTAATTGGGTGAACTCACAGCTCCCAAAGTATCCAGGTCTCAAAGCATTCTACCGGACCCTCTCGCCCAGGCATTTTGTTGGTGGGGACTGGAACACAGGAGGAAGCTGTGACAACACCACTCCTATGTCAATAGGAAAGGAAGTATTGCAAGATGTGTCTAATGACTCAGACGCTGCAGGCGCAGTGCGGGGAACAAGGGTTAAGCTCTTGGACATAACAGCTCTATCCCAGGTTCGAGATGAGGGTCATATATCTCGGTTCAGCATTACAGCCAAATCAGGCGTGCAAGATTGTCTGCATTGGTGTTTACCTGGTGTTCCAGATACATGGAATGAAATTCTTTTTGCACAAATCTAGTCCAATGAATTAAGACGCTGATGTCAAATGCCTCGGAAGGGTTCTAAGAGTCAGGTAAAGCGCTAAAGGCCTCAATGCTGCTATCTGAATGCCATAATCTCTTATAAATGATGCGATCTCAAAGAAGGGGAGATGTCAGCAGTGGAGCTCTGCATAGATGTTAGGTGCCGAGTTTGATCAGGGGCAGAAAATGGCAACCAGATGGCTCACAGGCGATAACATACTGTGGACAAAATGAATCCCTACCTTCTCTTCAGTTTTGGTTATTTCGCTTCATCCTAACTCGGTGGTTGTCGGAGAAAGCACCACTACAGCTGAGAAGGGCATTCTCGAAGTGAGGTTCAAATATTCTGCATTTAGTGCCAAGACTGATCTAGTAATGGATATGATGTGGAGTTCTGTCTGATAATTTATTCCTGTACATTTTATATCTAATTACAAATAGTCTATAGATAGAGCTTCATTCCCCTTATATATATGGTATATAAGCATTATTTTCAGAAGAGAGGAACATATTTTTTTGCTCATGTATATCAACTTCAAATGCATTGGTTGACCTTTCATCGGAATTAATTACGTATGATGACTTTTTTAGAGTGCCGATGGCAAATTCTAGAAAGAGGTGGGAAAAAAAAAAGTGACTATTGATCAATGATTCCAATTTTGTTAAGTTCGTTTCAATGTGGTGTTGGCTCCGGCCTAGATTTTATTCCCTCTCATAAACTATCCATACTGGAAAAAATGAAAAAAGGAATAATTTGACTCTCAAGTCATGGCTCTCGTCTTGTCTGATCCTTTTCTTTTTTTATAAAAAAATTATTATTTAAGTAAGTTCCATTCGTGTCCACAAAATCTACTCCATGTAATATTTTTAGTGACACAAACAGATATACGACAGCAATGCCACGTGGACCTCATATCCAAGCGACAGCTCATACGGTGTCAATTCAACGTTCCACGAGAGTCCATTTTGTTAATCTCTCGTTTAGTAAAAAAAGGTCCATGTCCTAATCAATCGCACTCCCTAATTATCCACTTAATCATCCACGCAATCAACCATTAAAGTTAGATTACGCGCTTCGATTCGCCGACGTACTTTTCAATCGCTCCACCCACCCAATCTTCGCCACCCAGCACACTGAACACGCAACGCTGCGTCCTCCGCAAAGCACATGATCCCAATTTCCCGCAGGAACCCCACCTGTTGATCGTCCATTCGTCCGAAAGCCAGCTGGTCTCTCAAACTGGAGCCCATCTAAAAAGCAGCCTAAATATTCAAAAAAAGCAAAACCCCATTCCCAACGGTCACACGCATCTCTCTCTCACTGTCATCTCTCTCGCTCGCTAATTTGCAATTTCCGTTGAATATCAATCCGATATAACATTCTCGTCTCTCACAAACCCTAATCTCGGATCCCAATCCCTGATCGTCCGAAATGGCCGAGGAGTTCTCCAAAGCCGTGGATGACGGTCTCAAGCTCTCCAAACGACTATACTTTGGGAAGGATCAAGCGGTGTCGCCGCCCAAGCCGCCGCTGTCGATGGACAAAACGACATCGGGCGCCTTCCTACCGACGGCACCGATGGTTTACGCGGTCATTTTTGACCCGGCCATCGTCGACAACCCGGACATCCCCAGCTACCAGCCTCACGTGCACGGCAGGTGCGACCCCGCCGCGCTCATTCCTCTCCCGATGAACCGGGTCGAGCTTGAGGTCGATTGTTATATGGACACCGCCTTTATTCGGGTCACCGGGTCGTGGAGGGTCCATTGCGTCAAGGGTAACAAGAGCTGCGGTTGCCGCGTTGCCATTCCTATGGGTGAACAGGTACGTGAATCGAGAAAAGTTTGAATCTTTTAAGTGTTCGTCTGTGAATTCGATCTCTTTTGAGTCTCTGGTGTCAAACAAGCTGTTGGGCTTGTGAAGTTAGATACCGATGTTATTTTTCAGAAATGGAACTTTGAAGTTGATTGAATTTGTGTCTGTTGATTTTGATCCTCTTGTTAAGCAATATATATTTTGGCTAACAGGGTTCAATTCTAGGTGTTGAGGTCGACGTAAATGGTAAATCGTACCATACTCAACTAAGCCAATTGGAAGATGAAAAGGAGATAGAGAAGATGGCCCAAGCAGAGGGAGGCTTTCTCAAACTCAAACCTCATATATTTACATTAACAACACCTCAGGTAATTACTTATGAAGAACAGACATACTTTTTGTTTGTACACTTTGAGATTTTTATTATTAATCAGAATCCTTTATCTTTAATTTATTTATTTTTTCTCTAATATGCATTGTTCTTGTTTTTTCAAGGTCAATGGGGGAGCCAATCTCTCAATCACAATGAGTTGGTCTCAGAAAATACTGTATGCAAATGGCGATTTCTCTTTGAATATTCCATTCACTTTTCCTGAGTTTGTGGTTCCCGCGGGAAAGAAATACCTTAAAAAGGAAAAGATCCACTTAAACGTGAACTCTGGTATTGGAACTGAAGTTCTATCCAAGAGAATTAGTCATCCTTTGAAGGTTCAACTTTGATCATAACTCAGAGGGCTTACTTTCTTATTATTTTCATAAGCAAGGTGGCCAATATTTTAAAACTTTTTCTTCACTTTCCAGGAATTACGGGGAGGCCAAGCAGGAAAATTGGGTTTTGTATATGGGGCAGATGTTCTCACTTGGTCAAACACTGACTTTAGTTTCTCATATGCGGTAAGGCTCGTGAGCATTTTTTGTCTGTGTATTGATTATCATGAATATACTTACAAAAGAGGGTTTCGTGGAGTGCAAAAACACATGATATTTGATTGCAGAATAGATGCATGGCCTTATTCAAGAAATTTTCTAAGCTCCTGTGCGCAGATTCTACAAATTCTTTGTAAGTCTAACACATTTGTGCATTTCTAGGTCTCTTCAAGTCATATACATGGTGCTGTTCTCATGCAGTCACCGCCCATGCATGATGTTGATCAAAGAGAGATTTTCTCTGTCTATCTTCTACCAGGAAACCAGAAGAACAGAAAGGTTGGTATTGTATTAAATAGAACTTCTACAGTTCTTTCTTAGTATGTGTCTTACTCTTCTTCTTTTTATCCCTCTTAATTGGTCGTCCAGGTTTTCAGAAAGGATGTAGCTTTTGTTGTTGATATAAGCAGAAGTATGCAGGGAAAGCCTCTTGATGATACTAAGAGTGTACTATCTGCAGCCCTCTCTAAGCTTGATCCAGAAGATTCATTCTGCATTATAGCTTTTAATGGACAGACTTTTGTGTCATCTACATCAATGAAATCAGCTACCAAGGAGGCTGTTGAAAAGGCCATTGAGTGGATTGGCATAAATCTTATTGCTGGTGGTGATACAGATATTTTGCCTCCACTTAACCAGGTATTATCTCATGCTCCTTTGCCTCTTTGTGAATTCTGCAGTTGGAGTTCATCATTATGGTTTTGTTTCTGGTTCTTTCATGCATAAACACAAGCATGTGTTAAGGCACAGTATACCAGTCAAAAATGTAATTTCAATGAGTATCCGTTCTTCATCTTTTTGTATTCTTTGGTTCACCTTCTATATTTTTACCCCTATCATATATGTTCTGCATTAAAATGACATCATTATGGACGTATTCATTTTATTTTGTTTGTTCCTTTGTTTTAGGCAATAGAGATGCTATCCAATACTCGGGATTCAATTCCTATCATCTTCCTTGTTACCGATGGGGCTGTTGAAGATGAGAGACACATTTGTGATGTAATGAAAAAGCGCCTTACAGATGCAGGTTCTATAGCTCCACGCATTTGCACTTTTGGAATAGGTGAGGGTTTAGCTATTTTGTGCCACTAGAGATCAGGCTAGTGGCAGATTATTATATTCCTCAAAAACTGATTTGAATTGTGACATTATAAACTCTTTCGGACGATTAATAATCACTTGACAGAATTTTCAGGCTAGTGGCAGATTATTATATTCCTCAAAAACTGATTTGAATTGTGACATTATAAACTCTTTTGGACGATTAATAATCACTTGACAGAATTTTCAGGCTAGTGGCAGATTATTATGTTCCTCAAAAACTGATTTGAATTGTGACATTATAAACTCTTTCGGACGATTAATAATCACTTGACAGAATTTTCTTCTCTTCTAGTTTAGAGTCCCATCTTTTTTATCATCAAGCCCGCATTTTATTAAGTCCACTGGCATTTAAAGGAGATAATATCAACTCTATTGTATGCGCTACCTTCTGGCTAACTTTAATCTGAAATATTCCAGGTTCATTCTGCAACCATTATTTCCTGCGGATGCTTGCAATGATTGGCAGGGGTCATTATGATGCTGCGTATGATGTAGGTGAGTTCACTATTTTCTTTTGGGAAAGAATCATGTATCCCGAAGACTGTGTTTTGTACTTCAGGTTGTATGAAATTTTCGAAATTTTGTATAAAAAACATATGAATCATTGGACCTTAGAGCTTGTATGAATCTTGTTCTGTTTTGTCATCTTAAAAGCTGTTATAACCCCTACACTTGTAGAAACTCGACCTTCAAATCATACAAATTGTATGACTTACCTCCATCTGTTGTCATATATATTTTTTTTTGGACGAAGTCTGTTGTCATATGTGGGCCCTGAACATATATCATGAATTTGACAAAACCATATATTACACACAAAAAAAACAGCTGAATCCTTCCATTCACTGCATCAATCCTTCTATATGAAGATATACAAGAAATTTTATGCTAACTTCTTGTAGATGTTAAACTTAATTAAACCCTTAACTTTTTTTTTTCAATGTTCAGATTTTGTCGAGTCTCGGATGCAGAACTTATTTATCAGAGCTTCATCTCTGATTCTTACAAATATAACCCTTGAGACATTGGATGATCTTGACGAAGTTGAGGTATTCTCATTCTGATTTAAAATTTATGGACCTTTTGCATTTACAATGCTACGCAACCTTACACATTGAATTACTGGCTATTTCATTTGGACAACTTATCCAACTTGCATCAAATTAGCAATTTATCTTGACTTATCATGACATATTTGCAATTTATGCGGTAGGTGTTCCCTTCCCATATTCCAGACCTCTCATCTGAGAGTCCATTAACTGTATCTGGCAGATTCCGAGGAAGTTTTCCCAACACGCTTAAAGCTAAAGGCCTCTCACCTGATATGTCTAGTATTGTGATCGATTTGAAGTTACAAGATGCAAAGGACATACCTCTTGACAGGGTAAGGCTGCTACTAAGGCACTGATTTGTGAGCTTAACTCCAGTTTGACTTCTGCTCCTTAATCTTGTTAGAAAGAAAAAAATTCTGAGTAAATATGTATATGGGCTAGATGTATCTGTTTCTGATAATTTTGTTTTTGAGTTGGCTTTGCCAGCTCTGTATTTCCATGAACTGAATGATGGTGTTCCTTACCTTACCTCCTACTGGATTGTGCAGTTCTTTCCATGCTTACATGGTTCCAAATCATGTTCCACTTAGTCTTTGCCTAAGCTGTAGGTGCTTAGTCACACAAAATATCTGCCTCGTAACTTATGCATGATTACATTAATGACCCATTTTGGTATATGTTAGGGTTCTGTACGTTCTGATTCCAGTTAAAAAAACTTCCTCTTGTCATAGGAGTTCCACATGTAGCAATCTCTGTGGTTGTTCCTTATGTCCTGTTTCTTGACAACTTCCCCCTTTTCTGTAACAGGTATGTGCAAAAGGGCAGATTGAGTTGCTGACTGCTCAGGCATGGTTGGCAGATAACAAACAGCTTGAGGACAAGGTTTGTTGCTTGTTTTATTGTATTCTCCACCACCATGAAAAATAAAATGTCGAAAGGTTTCATAGAACTGGATCATCTACAATGATAAATAGCTTTGATTTATAAGTCTATCGGTTTTCCCAGCCTGGTGTGCTGACACAAAGTTGTTCATGTGTACGAATTAATTTTATAAATGATTATATTCCTGTCATCAATTTCTACTTCATAGTAATTATGAGTATCTCTGATTCTATATCCTTCTATTGGCAGGTAGCTAAATTGAGCATACAGTCCCATGTTGTGAGTGAGTATACGCGCATGATCATACTTGGCAAAGAACAATCTGGACCACAAGAGGTAACCATTTATTAAGAAGAACTAAAATACTGCTGTCACCAAGTCCATAACTTTATCAATTCATGTAAAATTAGTGTTACTTTCTTGATTTATTCTTCATTTTTGAACATTTTTCATTTCCAAGATGATTGCAAGTATAGGTGAAAGCCGGTAATTTCATATGATTGATAAAATGTAAAACCATTATTTTCTGACTGGTTCTTCAACGAACATCATAACAGGCACCAAAGAAAGGCCGCATCAAGATGAAAGATTCTGAAAGCCAGAGACCGATATTGCTACCAAGTCTGTCCATTGGCTTTGGCAACTTAGTGGCAACTTCCGAGAACGTTCCTCCAGGATCCGAAGAACCAAAACAGCCGGAAGCTGCTGAGATTTTTGCCAGGGCAGCATCAAATTGCTGTGGCTCTATGTGCACTCACTGCTGTTGCATGGGCTGCATCCAGTGTTTCTCCAGGATAAGTCCTCAATGTGCAAATATATTTGCCCAGCTCTGCACTGGTCTAGCATGTGCCGGCTGCCTCAACTGCTGCTGCTCCTTTTGCTGCCGTGGATGCGGAGATGGTGGATCATAAATCTTGGCCATACAAACTCTCCTCTCTTGTAGAATAGTGTATAGGATTTTGCTCTTTCTCTTGGACTGGCGTCAAATACGCACGGCTAGACAGCTAGTTCTATACTCCGTCTTATGATTAGACAAACAATTCATACTGTTATAATGTTACTGTTTGGGCTTTTATGACAGTCTGGGTGAACCCTGTACATTTCACCAGGAATGATATATATGGTTAAAATTAATTATATGTTAGCTTCTTTTTGAAAAAAAATAATTTATTTTCTATATTTGAAGAAGATTGTAGGCTTGAACTATTCTAAGCGGGGGGGCTACCCTTAACTTATTCTCCCTTATGGTCTGATTGCATAAAGATTGTCATAGATTGTCACTCTCCAGGCAAAACATTCCAGTCTGCAATTGGTTTCTCTTACTTAAATCATTATTTGCAACACAAGATTAATGTAAGTGTACATTTTCCTTCAATTCAAGCAGAAAGAGTACTGTGTTTTCTTAAGGATCCATATGAGTTTCTCTGGTAAGATTCATTTCAACTTGTTCATCAACTTCTTGGTCTCCTGATTCTGAGCCCTCTGTTCTTTGGTGGAATGTCTCATGGATCTTTGTCACACCCTTTTCCACACCCTTTTCCACAGGCCCTATTGCTTGATTTATGGTCAAGACAACATCCTTGACCACCTGTTTAAAATGTGAAAATTGAATATAAATCAAATAATCTACGAAATATGTATTATATCCGATCCTCGTTGATACGGAAAGAACTTACACTCTGACCACCGTCAACAACAATGTCCTGAACGCTCTCGGTGACACTTGTTCCGGGAGCTTTGACCTGAGTTTCTTTTCTTTCGAACACAGCCGGGGTGTCACTTTCCTCCAACTTCAGTTTAGTCTTGGTTGTTTCTGTGGTGACCTTCCCATACTCATAAGCCGAAATGTAATGGTATGGTGCTGTTGAAAACACAAAAATATGTGCAACAGCTGCAATTGCCATCTGCCAAGCCACATGACATAAACCTACATTATCGTGGCTATAGGAGTAAACAGAATTATAATGAAGCTTTGTGGCCATCAAAGCTCAACACTTCAACCGAAACATTTAGAGAAGATTCTTTTCCTAGTTCAAGCAATGTTTTAATATTTAACAGAACAAAGTTGTCCTGCAGAAACAGAGTTACCACAGCAAAAGAAGCGACATACTTCGATACATATCAAGAAATCCTGCAAGCCTGTTTGTAGTCTCTCCTCCTTGGGAAGAACACCAAACGCGCACAATAGCGCGATGCCCACACCTTGCCACCAAGTGGCAAAAACAATAGCCTTAAAGCTGATGAACTTTGCAAGTGGTCTTATTGGTTGAAGCCTTTCATGAGTTACATTATAGAACTGCACAAGGCAATACAATGCCCACATCTGGCTGAAGTTCAATACTACAGCCATGTATGGATAACTGCAAGAGAAGAAAGGCGATAGTACTAAGCATCCATGAAGAATATCGGAGAAATATAATTCAATGACATTAGCAGTGTGTTATAATTAATTACTCATATTTACATGAATTACATACCCATAATACCACTTGAATTTCCCATCTCCATAAACGCCAAAGATCTCCAACACCAATGCTAAGAATGCACAAACTGTCTTCAGAATCATCTGGACTATCCGGCAGATATTAGAGCCAAAAAAAATTATAGTGGATTTACAGAAGGGAAAAACATAGTGACTTACATATTGTACAAGACCAAATTTTTCTATATTGAGCAAATGTTTCCCAAGAATACATGGTCGTAAGAAGAAATTACGAAGAGACCAATGTGGTTCGGTGCGATTCTCATCTGTTCCTTCTATCAATGGTTTGTTGAGCAGTTTTCCCGATTGATTTTCAAGTAGCTCTACAACTCTTCTTTCACCTCCTACATAATAGCCATTCAAGAATAATTAAACAAGTTATAACATCACTAATTATAGTAATGATTAAGAAACACACTTCATAGAGAATATTTTAAGGTTATGGGATCGGCAAAGGGAGCACCATTGTGTAACCTACATCAGTTGCCTTGCTTGTCTTCCTACTGAGATAAATGCTTGATCTCAACTGTACAGGAAATTTCTAGCAGTTTGTGAATATTCCAAGTTTCAAGATATTGAGCCCTCTAGAAAACATGGTCATGTTTGATTAATAGGACCCCAAAGATTATATTTGTAGGTACAACTAAGACAGTAAAACTGGCATGGTTGCATCAAAGCAGATATAAATAATAACATTTCTGAAATCAATGCAGAAACAAATGACTTACCCAGACAAGCAACCAAGTAGCTTCCAAAAGAATACAGGGCAAATGCTTCATAACAATTTCTTAGAATGTCACATGCAAGAGAAAATTTTGGATTCCACAAGGATAAAATCTGGAGAAGTCAAAACCAGAAAATCAATGCCAATACTGCATGACCAGAGTAATTAAAAACGAAATGACAGAAAATGAATCTGCTAATGAAGGTTACAGATTTAGTCAACAGAAGAAACCTATAATATCATGTTTCCTTCTCTTAGAATAAATTCATGCTCTAAAACGTTTGACATGCATAAGAAAGCTTCACTATTAATTTCTGTTTTTTCTTGTGAACAGAGAAATCTAAATTCAAAGGTCGACGAAAGAAGAATGCAATCTAGTCGCATAGACATGGATATCCTTTTTAGAGAGAGAGAGGGAACCATACTTACTGACTCAGTAGCATAGACGGGTACCATGAAAACTACAGCAACCACCCATTTTTGTTCCTGGAAAAGAGATTAATTAGGGAATTGAATGCAGTCTAGCCCAAATTACAAACAAACAAGCATGTTCCTATTTCTTCAAATTGCAAACGAAAAGATCACGAAGCATCATTTAAGAAAAATCTAACACAACAAACAAACATCATAAAGTGTCACATAGCTCAAGATAGCTTCATAATGAACACAATTCAGCAAAGTACATAACATAAACTGCATTGATTCCTACAGTTATTTCAGAGTAAAACGGATTTTATGCATCGACAAAAAAGGAGACCAAAGAGTTATGGTGAATTATATGGGAGAAGAACTAACAGTGGGTTCGGTGTATAATCTGAGATGTTGAAAGATGAGAAAAATGGAGAGGAACAGCGCCACAGCTGCAAAGCAGGCTCCAATGATAACAGCTGGTTGGTAGAGATCTCTGTATATGCTTTCATGGGCTGAGGCATAATGTGATGCCATTACTCAAACATGTCCCACTTCCCAGAGAAAACTTTAATTATCAAGTTTAGCTCAATGTGAATATCAACTAAACCTGAACAAAACAGTAAATGATAATCAAAGCCCATGATTAGAGAGGCTTAAACAATGGTTTCAAATAATCATAAAGCCATTAGGGTTAGGGTACCCAGAAAAGGTGACTTTAGATAAAAACAAGTGACACAAAAAAACTTCACTGCATTAAATCCAAGCACCAACCCAACTCAGAAAAGGAAATGGAAAGGAACAAAACCATGTTGACGACAGCAATGAATTCGTTCACTTTTGCCTACCTGTGCAAAAACACAGTGATATCCATTGTCCAGAACACAACCATATCAATTTTTCAGAAGAAAATGTGAAATGCCATGCAAATGGGCGCCAGAAGAAATAAACCAAACCAACCTCTTATAAAACGAGAGAATTTTCACCCATGTGAACAGAGTTTGCCATTGCTGATGCAGAAAATCTATCCCCTCAAAATCCCTACTGATAAGTTCAAAGAGAAGAACGGCAGTTACCATCCATTAAGCATTGTATATTATAACTTGTGTTGTCAGCTCGACACGTGTCCTAGTATTGCAACATTTTTCGTCAAACCAACGACACGTACTACAACCTTAACTGTTGGCGTAACAAAGAGAAGAGAACAACCCAGGTGGAGAGGAAACCAAACCAAATTGCTTTTGGGGCCTTCTAAATTACCAACACCATATTTGATTGTCGCATATATTGTTACAAACTTTTTTTGGGCTGATCATATGTTATAAATGTAAAGCTTTGATGTATGTGTTTGTTGTTGTAATATGACACATATTCCATTTTAGGGAAGTCTTGGACTGCTTGCAGAGGGTTTCTAAATATAGTATGGACAACCCTTCCGCTCTGCAAGACTTCACCTGGTGGTGGATGCAACTGGACTCTATAAATATAAGATTAACGCACTTGATTCAAAGCCATTGCATCGCATGGCCTATTTTAAACATATCGAACCCTTATATAAATCAGTTTTGCAAGATTGTTAGAGAAATATATAATGTCGTTGGTTTCATATTATAAAATTTCATGTCGATTCAATTATGAATGCATCTAAATTGGCAATGCGATTATATAATGTTTTGAGTCTCTCCACTTTCAACGAATCAGTTGAATTGGATGTTGTAATTTTATTAAGATCACATTAATCGCAATGCAATGGCTGTTCAAATGGTGAATTTGGGAGTCATAGTTCACTGAAAATAGTGCTGATCATGATTAATATTATTTACTGAAAGCTCATATAGAGAAGAGATGAGTGAACTCCTTCCAATGGGAGTGGGAGAAAGAGATGGCAAAGGAGCTAGAGACAGTTTGCATGGAGAGGCTACTAGACAAATTAAAGTTGCTTCACTTTTTTTATTTTTTTATTATTACTTTGTGTAATACTAGAGATAGTTAACGAGCAATGGGAAATACCCTTTGAGACACGTGTTGGTCAGATACAGTCCGATGACCAGTCATCACCATGCCGTCATTCGACACTTGGCAAATCTCCTTACCAGCTGCCTTGACCGGTCTGGTCAAGGGCGGCCCGGTAAACAATTCAACCTTTTTTGGGTTTGGATTTAGCATTGGACTGGACATGTTCACGTGGCTGGGTGGTCTTGAAACCCCCATGAACAGCATGTTGGCCCGCCATAGATCTCATCTCATGTGAGGCACGATTTTATTTGATTTTTTGGAATATATAATTTATCACAAACTGTAAAAAAATAAAATTTTATTTTCTTTATCTTATGATGTAAAAGTAGCAATTCTTGCTTGCCGCACATTATCCTTTTTCTCAATCTCATCATCACTCTCATTCTCATCCTCAATTTCCTCTATATTATAGCACAAAAAATGAAAACTAAAAATTAAAATTGAAATGGTTAAATCTGGAAACCGAAAAAAAAAAGAAAAAAAAGAAGATAGATAAAATTAAGGTGATATACTAAGATATGAAAGATAGAAAAAAAAGGGATTAGTCAATTTCCTCTATATTATAGCATTTCGTGGCCAGCCGTTTACCTTCATTGGGAGAGCTCCCGCAACGAAATGGATTAGACACTGCTGTCAGCGGTGGATACCCTTAGGTCTCACCTAAAAAAAAAGATAGAAAAAAAAGGCGGGAAAAGTGAGTGTTTGGGAACTTGAACCAGTGGCAAGATTACCAGCTTGCTTGGCTATGGAACTTCTCACCTCACAACTCTATATAAAGGCTTTTGCAGCTAAGCTCTCACTGGCTTATGGGATTCTGTGTACACAAACACCTGATTTCTATAAGCCCACTTCATCCATTTCCTCTTCTTGTAACAAACAAATGAAGGTAACAAAAGAAACTTGTGCTTGGGTGATTGTGTATAAGTTTATCTGTATGCTTCAATTTAGAAGGTTTTTTTGACTTGTTTGATTTGATTGCAGATATTTGATTGGATGAAAAGTAAGCTTACTGGAAAAACCCTGATTAAGAAGCCAAGCTCAAAAGTGTTTGATGGTGATTATATATAGATGAAAATATGACATGTTCAATTACACAATTAAATGTTCTTTTCTTTTAATGTGTACTTTGTTTTTGTAGATGACAAGGTGCAAAAACCTCCCAAAGAAGAAGTGAATGAGTGGCCTCATGGATTGCTGACAATTGGGACATTAGGAAATAGTGACTTGAAAGAAGATCAACAGAGCAACCCACCACCTTCCCCTAAAGACCATCTCCATGGATTTACACCAGAGGAAGTAAGAAACATTCAGAATGAGTTGAACTCCTACTTGAATGAAGAAGCTGATCATCAATCAAATTCAGGCGCAGAGCTTGAAAAAGTTCCAAACTTTCTTCCACTGGACAAGTTTCTAAACAGACAGTCAAGCTTGAAAGCTGAGAGAAATGGTATCAGTGCAGATTGTGATGAGGCTAAAGAAAATGGCGGTCGCTTCCAACGGAGTGGCAGTGCTGTTCTCAGCCCAGGGAAAGATGTTTGTTTGGAGAACACAAACACTGCCATTGGCAAGAAGTCGTTGTCTTTTCTCCTCAAGAAAGTGTTTGTCTGTAGAAGTGGGTTTGTACCAGCTGCTGCTCCTGGTCTAAGAGATCCAATCCTTGAGTCAAGAATGGAGAAGGTACATCATACACGTTCTCTTGTTAAACTTATGCTGTCAGACTGTTAATCTAGCTAGACCACACGTTCAAGCAACAATCAATGCAATAGTTAATTTAATCAATGGTTCCGATTCACGGAGTATCGTTGATGTGACATACCGCCTAGCTCAAATCTAAACATTAAGATTCATGCACATAACTAATTTTCCACTAGAGAGGGATTTGTGACATTTGTAGTTATTTTTCCTTTCTTGATTTGTTGACAGATACTGAAGGCAATACTTCATAAGAAGATATACCCCCAAAGTTCAAGTGCTTCAACAATGTCCATGAAAAAGTACTTGGAGAACAGACACAATATTGCCAAGTCTGCTAATGATGAAGAAATAAATATTGATAAGGAAGATGAGGGAAGCAAATGGGTCAAGACTGATTCTGAATGTAAGCACTCACTTAATTTTGTCATTTGATTAAAGCATGGACATGCTTTGCAAAGTTGTTGACACCATTTTTCTTTTTCTGGTTGCAGATATTGTTCTAGAGATATAGAGACTACTAGGAAGAATTCATGCAGGGTAAGTTTTTGATGTAGCTTGATTGTCTCTCCCCCAAACATTAATCTTTTACTTCAAATTTTTACTGATCTTATGCTAAAATTAACTTTGATCTGCAGATTTCTGCCAATGTGGTGGTGTTGTCCTCTTTTGCATGCCTAATTTGTTGTCTAACAAAATGTTTGAGCTCCATACTTGGCTTTGTGCTGTGCAACAAGAGTGGCATTTTGTATGAATGAATTGTCTCCTACAGCTTGGCCTATGCTCCATTTCAGCAGAATCAGCAAACACAAAAAAAATTACAAAATATATCGACTGTATCTTTCATCATCAAAAGAAGAAAGGGCTAAAAAAAGAAGAAGACTATTTATCTTTCTTTTTCTATTTTGTTATTTTTTTCCCTTTGTACATAAGATATTGTGAAAGTACTTTTTACCTTTTACCACGATAATAAACGCTATACAATAAACCAATAAAAAAATAACGTGAAATCTACGTAACTTATTTGTGTCCCATCAAACTTTTTTTGAATGAATCATGTAACTATTGCAAATAACGATTGTGATATTACAATAAAACTGGTAGATAAAACTTTTTCAGCTCCATGATTAGAAGTGTTACACATGCATTGTTTCTGATATATGCCAAAAAGAAAATATGCATTGTTTAAATAAGAAGAAAATTTAACTCCCCCCTTTTATGTTTGAATTGAATAAGAAAAAGGTTTAAACCTTATTCTGAAAAAACAATAGTTATCATTTCGAGTGATGGGAATTGTATAATTAAAAAAGGTTTAACCTTATTCCTGCTTTCACACAAAAAAATATATATAAAAAAAATCCTAATAATTGCTTCATGTATGATGAAAAGATTACGTATGAGGAAACGTATAATTAATTAGATCGTGTATATCTAATTTCGGCGCCAATCTCGATGGTACTTAATCTAATCCAACGCTCCATTAAGGAGACCTTATAATTAATTAAGCAAGATATTAAGCAAGATATTAAGCCCAAATCCACTGTATCCTACTGTAAAAAGCTAATAATAATAATAACGAAACACAAGAGCAATATTGTGTGAGAGAGAGAAGACCAATGAAAAGATGTCATCTTTTTGCCCAAGCCGGTGACTTTAATGGTCCAAACCCAACTTACACACTTAGTTGTTGATGGGTATTGTTGGAAATTGCTTGCAATTAGGGTTGGTGGTTGTGATGATCTAGTGGAGAAGTGTGTGACTGAAAGTTTTGGGCTTTGAGGCTTTTCGGGATTTTTTTCTTTTTAATTTTGGAGGTGATTGTTTGGTGGGAAGCCAATGCCATTGGAGAAGGCTCTGTGTTCCTGTTGATTGGTTTTTCGAGTTCCCGATTCTCAGTAGAAGAGAAGTCTACTTCATGTCGTGGGCTGGCGCAGAAGACACTTTCCTTTCCACTTCTCTTGCAAGCTATCTTGACAGTATACTCTCTCTCTCTCTCTCTCTCTCTCTCTCTCTCTGTTTAGATCTAGTTTGAAGTAATTGAATCTAGTTTGAAGTAATTGAATCTAGTTTAAAGTAATTGAAGATGGGTTTTATGGATTTTTGGCTGTTTTGTATGTTTTAGCTGTTAATTGCCTTATAGAGCTCTTGTCTAGTCTTTTTCTTGCACATTTGTTTCATGGAATGGTTTCAGGGCTGCATTACTGTTTGATTTGTAGATTTCTTATTGCATGCTCTGTTTGATTGCGTTTTTCAACTGTATATGAGATACCAGGAACATAAACGAGTAAAGCTTCAAATTTGGATCTCTGCACTAAGTAATTGTTATGATGTTGAATTTCTAGTGCTGAATTGTGGATTTGGGGTACAAGAGTGGTTCCCAATTTCTTAGAATGGAAGACATATCTTTGCTGGATAAACAAAATTAGAAATGAGACAAATATTTTCTTAAAGAAATCAAGATTCAGACCATTATTAAATGTGAGCCAGATGCTGAAGATGCACTCATTAAATTAAAGCTTCATAATTAGTGGTTTAATGTCACTGCAGAATGTTTTGTTTCTAGTGCTTTTGTAGCTCTTCCTTGAAGCACTGGATTTTTTTTTTTTGGGGGTTGGGGGGGCGGGTTCGGGGAGGAGGTGTTAAACTGGCATGAGATGCCTACATTTTGGTTCCATGTGATTGCATGGATTCGTTTTATGTGAGGTATATCGGCAGACTGATTGACATGAGAGATTGATTCATTACAAAGCACTTGGCTTATTAGGATTTTTGATTTGTTTTTCAGAAAAGCTTCTTGTCTTATTGCGAGATGGCCGAAAGCTCTTGGGATTACTACGGTCTTTTGATCAGTTTGGTATGTCACTTCACGTCCCATACTAAGTTCTAATTAGCTTATTATTCTTTAGAAACCTTTATTGATAATGGTGATTTTCTTCCCTGTGCCCAGCTAATGTTGTTCTTGAAGGTGCATGTGAACGAGTTATTGTCGGTGATCTTTACTGTGACATCCCATTAGGTCTGTATGTAATCCGTGGGGAGAATGTCGTCTTAATTGGAGAGCTGGTATATTTGCATTCTCTTTCAGTTCTTGGAGACTTGACCACTTTTAATACTTTTGACTATGTTATCAGTTTTTTTATTAAATTCTTGCTATGCATCTTTTATTTTAGGAATTGGGTAAGGAGGAGCTTCCTCCACATATGACTCTAGTACCAGAAGCAGAGATAAAAAGGGTAAGTCTTTAGATGTATGTTAGTTAATGCTTAATTTGAAAATTCCAATCTGAATGTTTAGGGTTCTAGCATTTGGTCATATTAAACCATGTTGACAAATGGATGAAGAGAACTTTGATTTTGTGAATGCCTATGCAGCATAGATAGCTTCTTAGCACTGTCCTAATTTGTCCTGCCAGTGTTAATATAGGAGCTTCTTTATGCCCTTTTGAGTGGGAATATAAGTTTACTCTGGTTTTTCTAAAGTAATTAACCTCTTGCATCAGCTTGATGTTGGAACCTTTCAATTAAATCCTTTCCTTTTAAGATTCGTGTATCTTATTATTTTGATTCAGGTATCTGGGTTGGATTGTTCCTTCCTATTCTTGTCTTTTGCACTTCACTGTAATTTGAGTACATGTTTCTCTTCTATTCAGGCTCAGAAAGCAGAGAGGGATGCTACAGATTTAAAAGGCTCCATGAGAAAAAGAATGGAGTTCCTCGATTTTGATTAACTTGCCCTCCCTTATGTCGTGGGTTTAGGCCATGTCCGCAAATTTTAGTGCGACAGTGACCCAAGATTTTCACCTCAATGGGAGCGCAGAAAAGAAGAAGAAAGAAGAGAAATAGTATAAGTTCTGAGGACCCATTGAACAAAGGGTGAGAAAGGAAAGTTATTTTTATCCGGGTCTAGCAAAGGCGAGGCAATGCTGATGGTTCCTTCTTCCCACGCTTCATTTGGATTTGATTGATACGCAAGAACATGGTTTGGGTTCTACAGAATTTATCAGGGTTTTTAGATTCGCAATTGCTTCTCTGTCAAACATGCCTAGTTTTGATTTTTCATGGCAACCACTGTTATTACATTTGTAAGATGGTAATTCCTGTTGAATCCACATATGTTTACATGCTACAAGTTTCACCATATACTGCACCGCATGCTTATATTAAAAAAGATTGTATTCCTAATCAGGCCAAGCCAGAGTTTCCACCCTCTATGTTTCTCCCCTCCCCCAACAAAATTAGATCGAATGCTGTGGGGGCTAAACATATCAAGATGTACGTGACTTTAAACATATTGAATCACATGCCACAGGATCAAGGGAAATCTTATTCTTTCATTATTTAGTTCCTAATACAAGAACTTTCGCATGGTAGATTGGATCATCAAATGCGAATTCTTAACAAGCCTTTCATATAAGTACATGATCTGAAAAATTCGAATCCATAAACATGTAAAAACTCAGGATGAACGTTGAGCTAACATAACTATATAAGACTACTGCAGCAAAGGCTTATGCTTTCTCAGGGAATGTAAGCAATGATATAAGAGGCTCGAATTTAGGAAAGCGAGAAACAAGCTCCGATCGCTTTGCCAGCTCAAAGTCCTGGAACTGAAAGGCAGGTGCACAAGTGCATCCCACAAGAGAGTAGTGAGTCTCAGCATCCCTTGGAGCAGCTTTGAGCAATGCCCCATCTGGTGAAATGCTATAGTCCTTTGTTGGAAATGAACCAAACCATATATTTGGAGGCACCGTGTACTGGGGTTGCTGATCCTCTCCAATCAAATTGGGTCCAAGGCAGGTGAATTTGAATTGCCCATCTTTGTCATCCAACTCCACTATCTGATAGCAAAGATGAAACAACAAAATAACATAGAGAAATAAATCACTTTGAATACAAATGTACTATAATGTATCACAAAGCCACTTTTAGAAGCTCTCTGTATCTTGAAATGACCATAGAAATGGCATGTCAATGCAGAGTATTTCAATCTTTCAATGTCTGAGCTGTGATCGGGGCGTACCGTAATAGGTTCTCCGAGATAAAAATGCCAGGTTTCAGCCATTGGTATACGATGAAGGCGTGACACATCCCCGGAAGGTAGCAAGAAGTAGATCGAAGAACTCACGGGGCGCTCAACCTTGTCTGCAGATAAGAAGCTACAGCTCTATTAGTAGAACAAACGGTAAGTAAAAACAATACAAAGTAGCAAGAAAATAGTTCAACTAAGCATCATTGAAGGTGGAAACAACAGTTCCCATACATAACAATTAGGCTCATTTTGATGAGCAAAGTGGATCTATTTCCATTTCAATTGAACATATGATTGCAGGAACAAACTAAGTTGCATGAATAAGTAGATTCTCACAAAAATCCAATTTCATCCAACCAAAAAGCAGATATAACACAATCTAGCCAACTTCAATTCCAAATATTTTCCAAAATTCCAAATTCAGGATCCAAATGCAAATAACAATAAAAACCCAATACACAGAGGAAATGAAACATCCAAAGTCAGATCAGATCAGTGTACAAAACATGAGAAATTGTTGAAAAACAAAATGACAAGTACAGAGTTACAAGGACTTACAATCTGGGGGAAGCTGGCACAAGGGCAGGGCAATGGATATGTCTCTGAAAGTTTCAAAATAAAACCCACCTTCTTGGTGGGGATTCAGTTTCAGTTTCTCGACAATCTGTGATGCAGTTGCCATGTCCGTGGGATCCGTTGAAAGCTGAAACCTGTTTTGTCTTCCTCCGACAACACTCTTAGATTCACTTTGTGATTTTTGTGTCTGGTAGGTGAAACCTTAGCCTGTAGAACGTCTTGGGTAATTTGACAAACTGAGCACAAGAGAGCTAACCAAATTTGACATGGCCACTTAATATTATATGGGTTTTTATCAGACGACTCGTCGTTTTTATTGCAAGTGGTGTTCTTTTTCAACTAATTGGTGTTTCTTTTTTATTTTTTCTTTTTGCTTTCTCTGTTTTACTGCTCTTGTTCATTTGGAATCTCAATTATTTCTATCAGGTAAGAAATTTTTGCTCAATGGCAAAAGGAAGCATATGGGGACAGAGATTTTGCCAGCCTCTTGTTGGAAACAATTTTGAAAATCTTGGAAAATGACAAGCCATTAAATAAAATAATGTGATACATGTATGGGTGTATGTCATGTATGTACATGAATGAATGTCTCTCTGTTAGTATTCCTAGAAAAGAAAATTATTATGGTGACCTGAAAGTTCCTCCTATGTACAACTAATTTAAAAAAGAACAAGAAAAAAAGGGTATCACACCCTCATGATCAGGAATTAGATCAGAGAACTAAGAACCAAAACTTCCTCCAGAATAGAAATATGACTTAATTTATTCAGTATTTTTCACTAAATTCCATTTGCTTCCCTTTGTTCCAACCCAACACTCTCTCCTCCTACCCCTTTTTCTTTTCTTCTCACCTATATGGCAAGAGAAAAAAAACCTGCACCTGTATAGAAATTTATCACTTTTAATTATCTAGTATTTTTTTCGCTCAATTCCATTGCTTTGCTTCTGTGGTTGCTTTGATCTCCTCTTGCCCTTTTAATTTCTCACCTTGTTGAAAGAAAGCCCATCTGAACTGAAGTATATAGAGCAAGCATGTGTATATGTATGTATAAGCATGCCTGTATGCCTCTCAAACTTGTACCTCTTCTATCCTCCTAATGGCTTCCCTTATATCAAGCCTTTGCTCAGGATCACTGAGAGTGCAATCAGCTCCAATCTTGAGAAGCTGCACCATCTGATCCACAGAGTCTGCATCACTTGCTATCTCTGGGTCAAGCAGCTCTTCTTCTCTCTGCTCAGCCATTGCTGATTGCACCCATTGCACCACATCAGTTCCTCCTTTGCCATTGCTTAGATATTGGGAAGGGAATTTCCCAGTTAGGATCTCAAGGACTAGAATCCCTAGGCAATAAACATCAGACTTTGGAGATATTTGCTGGGACTCTGTGATCTCTGGGGTCCTAAAAGCAAACATTGTTTGAGCAGCATTGTTGGGGTTGATGAGGGGATGCAAGGCATAGTCATTTAGGACTGGCTCATAGTCATCATTCAACAGAACATTGCTTGACTTGAGGTTTCCATGGGGCAGATCATAGGATGCAAACTCTGTATGGATGAACCCCATTCCACATGCAATTCCTTGGATGATCTTCAGACGGGTAGGCCAGTTCAGCTCCGAATGACAAATGCCACGATCACCTGCAAATTAAACGTTTGCATTAGCCTAGTTTGTCTGGAAACATGTTCTGTAGGCAGACTCTCAATCTAGAGACGACTGATCATATTAGTTAGTGTCACGTTAGTTTTCAATAGAATGATCACATTGTAGGCTACGTCTCTAATATAACAGCATCGTGGAGCCAAAATGCAAAAAACCAAAATGGTTATAATATAGAAGCCTAAAACAAGATTTTTTTAATTAAAGCGAATCTGTGACAAGTTCATACCATGCAAAAGGTACAGCAAGCTGCCCTTAGGAATGTACTCTGAGATCAACAGCTTCTCCTCTCGCCTATAATGGTAAGCCAAAGGAGTCAAGATATTCTTGTGCCTTAATCTTCCAAACCTTCTCATCTCAGCATCAAACCCATCTCTCCCCAACCTATTCATGTCCCTCATCCTCTTCACCACCACAGACATCCCATTGGACATCACAGCCTTGTAAGCCGATCCCAACCCTCCATTCCCTAAAACCTCAGCCGCAGCTTTCATCAAATCAGACAATCCAAACGAACCCTTTTCATCATTCACCATCAAAAGGTCGTTCATGCCATTTTTCCCATGATTTGACCCCTTCTTGGAGTCCCCTTTTTTGCTACTGGTTTGGTGGACCTCCAAGCTATGATTACTGCTGCCCAGACTGCGGTTGTTGTTACTTGGGACATGAACTTCAACCACCTGTTGATGATGATCATCCATTTGTTCTTTCGCAAGCACATCGAAATCATCGTCTCTCTTTCGCCTCTTTGCTACAAACAACACATACAGCAAGAGCAGTATCATGATACCCAAGATGACACTGATGATTATGATGATGGTTGTCGTCCTTTTAGAATCCATGTCTGAGGATGACGAGGATGGCGATGAAGGTGGTGGGGATGGTGATGGGGTTGATGGGGAAGGGGAAGGGGCAGGGGTTGGAGCTGGTGATGGGGATGGAGATGGGGATTTACATGATGACTTGAGTGGCACGCCACAGAGCCCTTCATTTCCTTCAAATGCCTTTGGGTTGTACTTGGACATGCCGTCTGGGATTGGACCTTGTAACTTGTTATTTGACAAGTCAAGTGAGTTCAATCCTTGTTTTAGTTTGGGGATAGGGCCTGTGAATTGGTTTTTCTCCAAGTGAAGTTCTTCTAGCTTGTTCAATTGGCCCAAGGACTCTGGGATTTTGCCTGTGAAATTGTTGTTACCGAGGTATATTTTTTTCAGTGAGGTCATATGGGAAAAGTAGTCTTTTGGTATTTCACCAGAGAATCCATTTCCTGACAGAAGCAAGGATTTCAAGGCACCAAGTGTGTGGAAGTCTGGGATTGAACCTGAGAAATTGTTGTTCATGAAATTAATGGTTCTGAGGGTAGGAATGTCTTTCAAAGCATCAAAATCAATCTTTCCAGAGAGACCCATGTTGGAGATATGGAGACCACTGATGACATTACTGCCCTTGGAGCAAACAATCCCGGTCCATTGGGCTTTGCATGGAGATGAGTTTTGATCAGGGGTCCACTTGTCTAAGGCACCTGCATGGGTGAGTGATTTCTTGAACTTGAGGAGAGCTTCTTGGTCTTGTGGTAAGGAGAGGGAGAGGTAAGGGGAGGAAGAGAAGAAGAGGAGGAGAAAGAGGAGGCGAACAGCGGCCATTGCTGAGCCGGGAAGGGGGACAATGGGTCGTCGTCTCCACCGGATAGAAACGAGCCACTGTTCGGAGAGAAAGATGGGTGGTGGTTCTTCTCTGAGGTTCTCTTGTGTTTGCTTAATTTCGTTTTGTTGATCATGAATTTGGGGTGTATGGGAGGAGGAGGAGTTGGGTGTGTCATGTTGGGTGGTGGGTTGGGGGTGTGTTTGTGGCTTTGAGATAGGTTTGGGGATGGAGATTACCAGATTTTACAAGATAAACTCTAAGAATAGAGATTGGGACAGAGGAAAGAGGGCTGGATTTGCCTCTTGTGGGATTTGGGGAGGAAACAGAGAGAGGTTGTGGAATTTGCATTGACCTTGTCAGCCTCTGGATGCCCTACATTTCAGGACTTTCAATTTCCAAAAATTGCTAAACATTCATTCAGTTGGTTTGGCAGAGGCAGAGGCAGAGCAAAACCATATTTATGTTATTTCAATGTGCTGTGTAATTAACTTCTTCTAAAAAGAAATCATGGAAAACTTAATTAATTCAATCTCAAAAAGGAACTAAAACAAATAAAATTGAGTGAATAACAACCAATTCTAGCCAAGTTTCAAAGCTGGTGCCTGGATCCAAATTACTTTACACTTTGCTCATGACCATGCTTGCTGGATATCACCATGGTCACCCAAGCATCAGTCATTTCACACTCCAGTCATGAACTTTTAACAAAAAAAGAATATTCAAATTACAGAAAGGAAGTCATGAGGCTGTCTTGGCTTCTTTGTATGTACAATTTCTTTGATCTTATAACAGAAGAGATTATCACATAATGCAGAGAATAGAGATATACATGCATGCAGGCTGCTTGGTGTTTCAATTACAAACCTTCCAGGAGTCTTCAAGCCCACAGCATCAATATTGTGAAGTGAAAGCCTGCACAGATGAATTGTTAGTTAAAATTTATCAGCACATCAAAGTGTGTAATACATTTTATGTTTTTGACAATTCAGAGCATGCAATGAAGTGTATACATATATATATAGCGTTACCGAAAATATGTTGCAGTGACCAGGATCTGCAATATGAGCCATCAAATTCTCAATGGGATCTTTCCCTGTATAAATGGCTTGGAACAAGAACCCTACAAAAGCCAGCATTGCAAGGCGCCCATTTTTTATCTCCTTTGTTCTCAACACCATCACAGGCTCAGGAGATCCTCTTCCCCACATCATGGGATCAAACCATAGCCCACCAGGGTACCCAACATCTGGTTTTGGGTTCTTTTTGTGAGGAAGCTTAGGCTCAATATCAACACTCCCAGGGTTAATTATGTCAGCCCATCTCCTTCCCTCAACCCACCCCATTAATGCTAACTGCACCACAAACAGGGTTGTGGGGTCTGCAAAGTATTCTCTCTCACCAGCCTCAAACCATGAGAAGTTCTCAATAAACCCTAATCTTTCAAGCCACTCTGGAATTAGAATTCCAGACACTGCCAGCATTGCCCATCTGCCATGCATCAGCTCAGCTTGTGCAAACCATTTTAGTAACTCAGGATCAGACCCTGCAAAAATTCGTCAAATTGGGTTTACATTTCTATGGAAATAAGTTAAACTAAGACCATACACAGAAAGTTTACAAATGGTCTAAAATTAACATGTACATACCTAATCCAAGGGGGTCAAAGCCAAAATCACCAGGAAGGCTATAGTTTTAACCCCAAAAAAACAGTCAGGATGAAAGCGGAGATAGATGTATACTGAAAATATAGGAGGGGTGATGTGAAAACAGTCAAATTGATGAATTTAATTCATAATTATTTCTGACCTGCCATCAAGCCACTCTGGAGGTGAGCTACCAGGAAACCACAATGGCCTATCTGGAGGGAGTGGTTCACACACGCTGGACACTCCTTTTGTTGCATTTAAACTGGTTGTTCTTCTTCCGAGCATGCATGATTTTACTTTTCCGGGGCAAAATTTCCAA